TTGAAGGAGCTCAAAAAATATTAAATATTATTAAGCTATTATGACCATTAATTGTTACATCTAAAGGTATAATTTTATAGATAACATGTCTAGAAGACATCAAATAACCATCTATGACTTCTTTATGTATATGCTTAGTTTTCTTTATTAAAGATATTTTTTATTTTTTAACAAATTTTTTATCCATAAAATAAGCCAAGGTTCTTAAATCTAACAAGATAGAGACTTCATAATTTTTTGGTCTTAAATAAACATCTATAATAAAATAAGGTGAGAGATTTAAAAATAAAAGATCTTTACTAGGTATTGCATAAGGTTCCAATTGCACTGTCTCTATTATATCTAAACAATCTCATTTTCCAATGAATTGTCCTCTTTGGCAACCATGCCTCTTATTTTGTGATTGTGTTGCTTCTTTGAAAAATACTAAGCACTGTGCTTAGATTCTCCACAATATAAGCACAATCTTTCTCAACAATATCTTATTTTTTCTTGCTCATTAAGAGATTTGATACATATCATATTAATTTTCTTTCTTTGCAACCTTAATATATATATATTTTTTAAAATTTAGATGTTATTGCTATGACTTCACTTCTACTTTTTCAACCAAATTTTATTCTTAATATCTTTTAAAAAGTCAATTGTCACATGCAATGGCTTGAGTAATAATTTTTCTAATGAATGTGCTTTCAACATTATCAATAATAAATCTTTAACATTATTTTTTTAATCCACATTAAAGTTGGTTGATAAGGATTTTGATATTCAAATCTACGTTATAAGCATGGTTTTGGAATTTAGTAGCATATAAGATAGCTAAATGTGATCTTTTTTGTAAAGATAGAAGTTAGATCTTGGCTATTTTTTTTGTCACTTTTTTCAAATTTGGCCATAAATAATTTAAAGAATGAATTTAGATTGTGAAAGAATTAAGCATTTTTTTTAATCAAAGATATAAATCAAGAGAGAACACTTCTAGATGGAAGTGCATCTATGAATCCAACTTGAGTAAATCCATTAGGATATTAGGCAAGATATAATCTTACAAAGAACTTCACTTAATGTAAAAATCCTCAAAATTTTTATCTTATTCCATCAAATTATTTGAGCATACTTATCTTTGTTTCTTTCATATTTATAGTAACAAGATTCTTTAATTTTAATTGTGGGCTTGATCTACTTGTTTCTGTCAATTACATAATTTTTAAGTATAGACTTTGAATTTCATTATTAACTTTTTCTATAGGTGTATCATAGACATACATATTTACTTATAAAATATTAGATAGAAGATAAATATAGATAGAATTAATATTAAATTATGGCAAAGCTTCATAGATGCGTATTTGACTTTATATATGTTTATATTTTATTGATAGATTAGAAACTTGGCCAACAAATTAGCCATGTGTTGTACAAGTAGATAGTTTGTGGTACAAGCTAATAATGTAGCATATATATATAAAACTTACCTTATAAGTTAAGACATGTATCTTATAAATTCAATATGTGTTAAAAGTCTTATAAGACTTTTTTACATAGCTCTTAGTTAGATAGTACATAAAGAGATAAGAAAAAGTCTTTCTTATTCTTATCAATGTCTTTTTAGTCTTTAGTCTTGTTTTAAGATTTCCTAGTCTTTTTATCTTTGACAATAGCTATTTTAATTTAATATATTACCATCTTTGAGTGATTTTTTAGTCTTTTAGAGTAACATAAAAATGTATTGAAATATTTTTCTTTGAGATTTATGTCCTTGATAGTTTGACAAGAGTCTTAACTTATTATCCTTTTTTTGTATTAGAAGTAAGTAGATTATCCCACTTCTATTGTTGTATTTTGAAGGTTGGAGATTATACACCTTTAAACTTATCATTAATTTTTTAATATTGATTTTTTTTCTTAAAGAGAGTTGACTATTCCTATTTTTAGAAACTTTTATTTGATATTAGAGGTTTTGGATTATCTTCCTTTAATTTGAATTTCAGATTTTTTTGAGTTGTCTATAGAAATTTTTTTTATAGATGCTACTTGTAAATGTAAAATTTAGTCTTCAATCCAATTACAAGATGGCCTCAATTAAGAGTTGCTTGTAATTGGTGGTATGAAGTAGAAGTAGGAAGAACAAGAATAAAAGAATCAAAATATAAAAATAAGTGAAATAAGTATAATCAAGCAATTGTACACTATAAAACTAGTCATAGACTATTTATTAAATTTTTATCTAGTAAAAAATAAAAATAAAAATTATTTTTTTTAAAAAGATAATTTTTATATCTTTCCAATGGTATAAGAAATATATAAATCCGAGTTACTATGAGTAAATTATGAAGGTTTAAAAATAATAAGTAAATAAATGAAAAGATAAATAAATAATTTTTACCCCAACGATAACTTGCTTAAAAGACCAAGAATTTGAGCCTCACCAAGGCTCACAAATAGTGTATATGGATTTCTAAGAGAGGCCATGAGGCGTTAGTCTTATCTTCCTAACTACCTTCAAGATGCTATAACCCATACGGGACTTGTGCACCTCTCTTACTACAAGGACCACATTAGCTTTTGGTCCTCTTATTTTCTACTAGTAAAATCAATAATTTTGTATTTTTGACTTTATCATAGTTTTTGAAAACATCCAATTAGCCTAAAAACCTTGTATGGCCATCAAATCTTACTCCATTTCTTCATAATGGCTTTTGAATGCTAATTTTTCTTTTTTTTTATCAAAGTCTTAAAAATTACTCTAAAAATTCCTAAAAAATTCTAAATAAATTTTAAATAAATTCTAAAAATTCCTATAATATTTTTATAATATTTAAATAATTTTAAAACTATACTTTCTTACCTTGAAGTTTTTTTTAGTAATAAAATTAATTTAAATCCACTAAAAATCCTACTTTCTACGTAAATAACTAAAAAGATATAAGGTTCTTTTTCATGCTTCTTCTAGCTACTAACTAATATTTATATTTTTTTATAAATAATATGTATAGAAAGAAGGCCAATATAAATATTAACCTAAGAAAATATCCTCTAATACTTAATAATAAGTAAAAAATACTAAATGAACTAAGATAATTACCTCTAAGACTTATTAAGACTCTAATTCTACAACTAACATTCTAATTTTCTATTTGCCTAAAGATTTTTATACTATTTATCATATATTGTGATTTTAAGCACTTTAAATATTTTTTTTTTATTCCAAAACAACTAGTAAATTAATTTTATGATTCACAGTACTCTTAGTAGAAGTAAGAATAGATTTGTAACTATTGCAGATCTTTATGAGCTTATCAACAATTTGATGGTGAAAATCTTACATATCTCTAATATCAACTATAGAAGTAGTATTTTAATACCAATAAAAGAGATTAATAATGAAGTTTAATTTCTATACCAAAAAGTTATGCAATTAAGAAAAGGAAGTAGATCAAGCTTACAACTAAATTCAAAAAGTCTTGCTACTCTAAGTATCAAAGAGATAAGGATAAGTATACTTGAGAAGTTTGATAGAACAAGATCAAAATTTTAAGAATTTCTACAAGAAGTAAAATTCTATCTAAGGTTGCATCCTTCTCAATACTTTGATGGATTTGCTTAAGTTAGATTTATAAATATACCTCTCTCTAAGAGTGCTTTATGTTGGTTTATATCTTTGATGCAAAAAGATTTATATCTTTTCTATACTTCAAATCCATTTTTAAAAGTATTTATAGCTATTTTTAGAAAAATAATTATAAAAATATAGTAAAGATAAAATTTATATTTCTATAATAAGAATCACTTTTAATCACCATATATGTTGTAAAATTCTAAAATCTTGCTTGTAATGTAGATTAAAATGACAAGGCCCTTATCAATCAATTTTGATGTGGGTTAAACGATAATGCCAAAGATTTATTATTAACAATGCTTAAAGCATGCTCATTTAAGTAATTTATTGCTTAAGCCATTGTATGTAAGAATTGACTCTTTAAAAGATGCCAAGAACAAAGATATAGTTAGAGAGATATAAATCAAGTGATGGCAATAACTTCTAAGTTCACAGAAGCTAATTCATCAAGATTTAAACCTATGCAAATTGACACAATATATTTTAAGCCTCTTACTGAGCAAAAAAAAACTTGATGCTATCAGATAGCACCATAGGACTTTGTGCTATAGGTTGAGTTCTACGATTTTTGAAACTATAGCATTGATTGTCTTTACAATTCAAATTGCCTCTTCAAATATTCATGGATCCTTTAGTTCTATCTCTCGTTAGACCCCAAGTTTCAAACCTCATAGGAATCAATCCATCATCTCTGCTTTTGAAACATTGCCAATTTGCAGACATAAGAACTTGAATTAGGAGACATAATCTTGCATCCACCTAGTCCTATAGCACTATCTAATACTTTTTAAGCTATATAGCTACTTTACAAAGACAAATAAAAGCTTCAAGGATAAGAGAGTCGATATCTGCTAGGTTCAAATTGAATAAATCTAGTACATACTAAAGACTTCAAGATAAGAAGATATATATCAATGGCTCTTCAACATGTGACAATTCTTCCAACTAGCTGGAGAAAATACCACTAAAAGAATTGTGTATGTAACTAGCTATTTGAGAGATGTGCCACCATTTGGTGGCAACATCGAGTTCAAAGCTATAGAGATTAAGGTGGATTTTGTGATTGGAAGGAATTTGAGACCGAGTTTAAGAATCAATTTTGGCCTATTAATACGATAAAAATAATATATGATTAATTAGTAAATCTAACACTTGCTTTGATACCAATAAAATAGGACCAGTCTATTTCAAGTATCTAAGATCCTTCTAATCTATAATAACATAAAATCTTATCACAAGGTAGAACAAACTAAACTAAAACAAAATTGAATAGAACTATACAAAATGAGACACAAGAGACAAAATTAAGCAACTAAAATCAAAACAAAACAAAATAAAATATAAGATATAAAATCCAGTTATATTAAGAAAAAAGGTCCAAAGCCATATTTAACCAAATGTCTCAAAAGGCCTTAGCTAGTCTTATTTATATTTTGTTCTACCACCCTAGACTTTTTAGAATGTTCCTAAATGATGGACTCCACTTAGATAACTACCTTAAATTCCTTCTAGAAAATTCCTTAGTAGGCCTCAGCTAGGTAACAACACTGAGATTTTTTTAAAAGGTTCTATAATAGATACTATCTAGGTAACTATCCTAAGCTTATTCTAGAAGGATCTACAATGGATCTTACTTGATCCACTAATCTAATTCTAATTTTAGAAACTTCCATGGTTCTAACTATCTATTCGTATGTGTCAATAATACAAATATCTTATCTACACCATGTTATATGTTTACTCTCTACCTCTTCTTCTTCTTTCCTTTGCCACTTTGTTTTGAATATTGTAAGTTTTTTCATTTGTTTTTAGAAGTTAAGCTCCATTATTTACTCCACATATTTACACAATTATAATGTGGTGCTACTAAAGCCATATCTATGTATTGGTTTCTGATTCTTATATCTAACGTCTTCTTACTTATTTTAATTAATCCACATGTTGCCTTCTAAGTTGAATGATGTTTAGAAATGATGTATTGAATGGAGCTTCTCTATAAATCTTCCATAATTGATAGATTGGTTGTCGCTTGGATTCTTTGGTTTTATGAAATGAGTGATGTGATATAAAAGATATGATGTGATATAAAAGATGTGATGTGATATGAAAGACATGATGTGATATGAAAAACATGATGTGACATAAAAGACATGATGTGATATGAAAGGCATGATGTGATATGAAAGGCATGATGTGACATAAAAGGCGTGATGTGATATGAAAGGCATGATGTGATATGAAAGTTTTTTATTTCAATGAAGTTACAAATTCAAGTGGATTTTTTTTTGTTTGTCTTCTTTTATTTTTGTACTTATTGTTTTTTGTAGCATTTGAATACTTCTAATGTGAGATAATATTTTGAGCAATATTTCTCAAGTTTAGGCAATTACAAAAATTAAGGATTGTCAAAGAAGAAAGATTTGCAATTTCAATTGGCAAGCTTGTCTAACTTGAGCAACCACTTAAATCAAATGTTGCCAGAGAAGAAAGATCTAGAATTTCATTTGGCAAGCTTATCAAACTTAAGAAATCACTCAAATCAAGTATTATCAAAGAAGAAAGATTTGCCACTTCATTTGGCAAGCATGTCAAGCTTGACCAATCACTCAAGTCAAGAGTTGTCAAAGAAGAAAGATTTACAAATCCATTTGGCAAGCTGATCAAACATGAACAACAATTCAAATAAAATGTTGTTAAAGAAGATAGATTTTTCAATTCATTTGGAAAGCTTGTCAAGCTTAAGCATCTACTTAAATTGGTATTTTCAAAGAAGAATGATTTGCCATTTTATTTGGGAAGCTTCTCAAGTTTAGGTAATTACAAAAATTAAGGATTGTCAAAGAAGAAAGATTTGCAATTTCAATTGGCAAGTTGTCTAATTTAAACAACCACTTAAATCAAATGATGCCAAAGAAGAAAGATCTAGAATTTCATTTGGCAAGCTTATCAAACTTAAGCAACCACTCAAATCAAGTATTATCAAAGAAGAAAGATTTGTCACTTCATTTGGCAAGTATGTCAAGTTTGAGCAATCACTCAAATCAAGAGTTGTCAAAGAAGAAAGATTTACAAATCCATTTGGCAAGCTTATCAAACATGAACAACCACTCAAATGAAGTATTGTTAAAGAAGATAGATTTTTCAATTCATTTCGTAAGCTTGTCAAGCTTGAATACCTACTTAAATTAAGTATTTTCAAAGAAGAAAGATTTGCCAATTCATTTGGCAAGCTTGTCAAGCTTGAGAAACCACTCATATCAAGTGTTGTCAAAGAAGAGAGATTTACCAATTCATTTGGCAACTTTGTCAAATTTGACCATCCACTCATATCAAGTGTTTTTAGAAAAGTTAAGTTAGTCAATTCTTTTGACATTATTTTTAAAATTTTGTTATTTACTAATCTCATGTTTTTTAAATTATTAATATTCTAAATCTAATAGATCCATCTAAATCAAGTCTCATTAATGTACTAATTGTAAATAATGTTCTAGGTAGTATTTCATCAAAAATAAATCCTAATAAACTCAATATTGTTAATTCTTCAAATACTTTCCAAAATTCTTTATTGTACATTGCCAAGGATAGCTTTATTCTATTATAAGGATGAAATTTAAGATAATCATAATACTTATTTCTTAATAACAAAACTTTTAACTTCTTTGCATTTTTTACCAAAACCATAAGTATTTCAAAGACATCTTTACTTTGCTTTGGATCAATGATACATATAACTATTCGTAGAGAGCAAAAGTATAATCCTTTAATAATAAACCTTTTAAAGATATCTTTCGTATTATAATCAAGAATTATACCTTCCAACTAATTAACATGAAAAAAAGATAATTAGAAATTACAATCTATAGCTTTATCAAGTACTTAAATCATATACAAATCTTTAAGTATTTAATATTGCATCACACAAAAATATATAAAATTATTCTAAAATAAAATTAAAATATCTTATACTTTATTTTTTTAATTTTTAATTTTGTATTAATATTATTCTATCACTATTTGAAAGTATTACCTTTGTTGTTATTCCATGCATTGGCACCATATTTGCATTCCAAATTCATGTGTCTTTATATTCTTGTTTTTCAACAATCTTTCGTCCCATATCTTGTAAATGATCATGCACTTTTATTACTCCATCTTTTTCTATTTTTATCATTGATTTATCAACCAACATATCCAAAACAATACTTGCATCCTGCTCTTCATCTCCACTTTTTTTATTGGTATATATTTGTATCATAGTCTCTTTCATTGTACCACCCCAATTCACATTGTTACAAAAGAAGCAACATATGTCCAAAAATATGTTCTTTTCCTCAACTTTCATGACATCAAAACTTATCTTTAAAACAATCCATAGCTTATATTCACTATCTTCTTCATCTCCATCCAAAGGTCTTCCTCTTCTTAACTTTTGTAAAGCTCTTTCCCAACATCTCAACCTCTTTTGTCCTCCTAAAAATGACCCCACAACTTTTAAACTCAAAGGTAGTCCATTACAAGTTCTTACAATCTCTTTGCCAACCTCAATAAGTTCTTTAGGCAATTCATCACCATCCCTACAAGAATAAGCTGTAAACAACTTCAAACTTGCATCTTTGTCAAGTTCTTTAACATCAAATTTATGAATCTTTGTAGGGTAGTTTTTTACCACCTCTCAATTTCGAGTTTTCACAATTAGTATGCTACCTTTATTAGAATGTAAAACATCCATAAGTACTACATCATTGATATGACTCTTATCCTTCACATCATCTAGCACCAACATGAACTTTTTGCTCATCAATAAATCTTTCATCATAGCTTGTGCTTCTTCTAAACTCTTTGGTTTTGAGTGAAAATTCAATTGGTCCAAAACTTTGCAAATTATTGAAAATCCATCATCCTTCTTTTGAATACTTTCAACAAAGCATGATACATCATACATGTGTCTCATGCGTTCAAATGTAGTCTTTGCTAATGAAGTCTTTCAAATTCCACCCATACCAACAAAACACAATGCATTTATTCCTTTCTTGCATAGTTGTTTGATCTTAGACAACTGTTTTTTTACACCCATTATATTGACTTCATTATCATATTCCTATTCAAGTAATCAAATCATGATGTTATCAAAAATATACACTTTGTGCTATAGTTTCTAACCAAAGAATCTAATCACATTCAATTTTTACAAAACATCATTAAAGAACATATATTTAAATATATAGAACCTAAAATAAAAAAAATCAATTCTATATATATATATATATATATATATATATATATATATATCATCAAAAACTCCAATATGTGATTTACTAGTGTATCATCAATATGCATATCTTTTAATTTACTCCTTTTAAGTATGATCTTCTTTCTTAAATGCTCCAAAATATGATTTTCTTTCTTAAATGCTCCAAAATAAGGTATTTTGGCTACATTAATTTCCACCAAGTATTTTTTCTTCAATATTATGAGTCTCTTGCAGATATCCACAAAACTTGGTCTTTTTGAGGGATTCAATGTCCAACATTCTTTGATCAATTTACTAAGATCATCACAATTTGAAGGTAACTTAGGTCTTTCACTATTTTCGATTCTTTTTAATAATTCTTTTAGAAAAATTGAAGCATCAAATGGATCATTTCCTGAAAGTATCTTAGAACATGTCATTGCGAAAGAATACACATCTGCTTCAAAAGCACATGTCTTTATTGATTCCTTTCCACTTTTTATTATCTCTGGAGCCATGTATATTGGTGTTCCATATATATATCTATTTTTATTAATTTTGGGATTTCTTCCCACATTGATTTTTGAACAACCAAAATCAATCAATTTAACAATAGCAAATTGAAAACCATTATTGCATTTACCATCATCTATAATATTGAGTAGCGCATTATCTGGCTTTAAATCTCGATGTACAATTTGCATGTCATGCAAATAACACATTCTTCTTGCAATTTGATAAATAACATCAATAAGAAAATAATATGGCATTGATCTTTTTGCCTCTAATATATTGATCAAACTTCTTTGCATCAATTCCATCACCAAGTATACTTCTTCTCTTGAATTTTTCATTGATGAAGACTCCCTATACTCATTTGCATTACTTTTTGCAGCATAGTAATATTTGATCAAGTTTGGATGACTTGTGCTAGCTAAGATACCCACTTCTTTCATGAACAAATCATTCAAATCAACATCCATTATTTTTGTTGCACTAGAAAGTCCAAACCACTTGGATTCACGAACTTTTCCATAAGCACCCTAATTTATAATTTTTCCAAGCTCTAAACTTTTGATATCACTTGATACTTGCAAAGAATCCATCTCTCCACCTTCTATGCGCTACAACTCCTTCAATCTTACTAATAAATAGTTTGCCAATTTATGATCTTCATATTGAACATCTTTATTCATATAAATTAATCGTCGACATAGTTCTTCACCATCATGTTTAACATCTTCAAAAGTAGGAACATCAAACATTATTGGTACAATGTCCTCTAATTTTTTTGAACACTTTTTGGCAAGTAGATCTATTGCTACTTCATAATAAATCTTCAAGTCCCATGACAACTCTCTAAACATTTCTTTGTTTTCTATTTGAAAGATACTTGCTTCACACCACTGTTCTTGTGCACACTCTTTTATCAACATGTATATCTTCAATGTTGTATATTGAAATTATCAAAATAAAACTTCATATTCACTTCTTTTATTGCTACAAGCTCTCAAGCCTTCAAATACTTTGATAACACGACCAAGTAGTTTGCAAATATTTGCACATTGATTTCTATTCAATACAACTTTAAACTTTAATAATATCTCCATTTCATGATTGTAGTTGAAGCATTGAGTAAGCACATCTCCTTTATCAACTTCTCTTATTCAATTTATAAGCTTTTTATTCTCCAATCCTTTATATTTTCTAAATCAATCATTATATAAATGACACAAATTAATAAATAAATCAATAAAAAATCCACCCTATGCAACAAATAGCTTAATCCTCAAAAAAGACTAAGAATCTTAATAGAAGAACAAGTTTGAAGATGTTCTCACCATACTCCAAGTAACAGAAGTCTTCCACCCTTTAAATCATTCAAACTAGCTCCTATCTTGCAATTTGATTAGCCAAATTACAATTGTGATATGTTGTTCAATGTGCCATCATCTTCTTGCCAATCTTCATCCATAAAGCTTGAATTTTGAAAATAACAAATAAACAAACAAGTAAAGAGTGCATATCAATGCAAGAATGCATGACAATCCAAGTTCCCTACCAAAAGAATCAAACATCTACTAGATTAACATCATAAGTTAGAATATCTACAACATTCAATCTTAAAAACCCAAAACCTGTTCAAGCGCTTGCATAGGATACACCAAACATGAGCTTACTATCCAATCTATTGTCTGGCTTTTAGGCATTACCTAAAACACCATACTCTAAACACAAAAAGCCATCGTAACAATCTCAAAAAAAAAAAAAAAAAAAAGCTCTCATGTTGTTTGTAAGCCAAAATTTGGGCACTTCGAAGCAAGGAGAGAGCACACAGCAATGAGGATTTGGCTGCGAGAGGGTAAAGGGAAGTGAACAAGGGAACGAGGATGTGTGGTGTGCTTGAAACCCTAGACAGCATGACCAAAACACTGATGGGTTGACGAGAATGAGCCTACTAACAAACAATGGTGTACCAAAGACAAACATCCAAATTAAGTGTAAATAAAGATAATTTACAATAGTTGAGTCGAATGTGAAATGTATCACGACAAGATTCTTGACTGAACTAGTTCTAAAAATAAACCAGATTCTGTGATGTAAGTTAAATGGTAAAACCAAGGGAGATAAGGGAATTTATGCAAACAAAAGAAAGTAACGCGCTTTCTCACCTTGGACTACGATACCAACTACTGGAACAATCCTTCGCTTGTTGTTAGAGTTTAACATCACCAGTATTTGTAGCAATCCAATATTTCACAGTTCATCCTTGCTTCTCTCATAAGTTGGTAGGGTAATCCAAGGTGCAAAGGGGCAGTTGACCACTTGAATTGTTGCCAAAAAGTTTCGTTCTAACTCCAATTTGACTGATTCTGGGGTCGTCCGAAAGCGAAGATGGAGAGGCTCCAACACGCGGATTTCCACCTCAAAATTCAAAATTCACCAATGAATGCAAGAGACTAGTTCAAGCGAATCCGAGGTGACCCAATAATGAACCTACTGATAAACAATGGTGTACCTTACTGTATTCAGCACTGGACACACACACGCACACAGGGCTAGCAATATCTACTCAACATTGGTATCAGAAGTAAGATAAAAAAAAAAAAAAAAAAAACAACAAAGGATTCGCCCGGCTTCGGTGACCAACTGCATGAAATAGACGATGGACAGATAGTAGCGGAAAAAAACACAAGAAGAAAGGGAAAAAAGAAAACAAAAAAACTAGTATCCAGGATTGCCTTTCCCCGTTCTTCTTTCTATCACATGCTTGCCCAGGACGACGTTATCTGACAAGTGCCATTCCAAATTGGACTTGTTGTCGAAGGTAAAAGACGTGGTCTTCCAGAACGTGTTACAAGTGAATGGAAGCTTCTACTCGTTGGTTGGTTCGAACAACCGCAGTTATGCTTCAGGTGTTCCTCTTCAAATGTGAAAGTGCTGTTTTTTGCTATCTTTCTCGGATATTCGTGACACTTAGCTCTAACGAAAGAGATTCCTGCAGTCGCTCCTGTGTCATCCTTCTTGATGTGATTGATCGGTGACACTGGAGAAATTTCTTATCTCGAGGCAGCTGGTGCGTTGACGCTGATAACAAGCCCGTTGAAGCCCGTCGGGAGGTTATCGAATCTGAGTACGATGTGCTTTTGACAGTTCAATCAAGAGCATTGCAAGTGTAATGTAATCTCTGACTAAAGTTCAGTATTACCTGCAGTGGAAGAGCTCCAGGTCAGAGCTTCTGTTGAGAAAACTGAGTCATTCAACCTATATGACACAAACAGATTGAGAACATTAAGTCTTGAACAGACATATGACACAGAGAGGTTGCAATTGTGAGTCAAAGAAAGCTCATTCCTCAAAATGGACTAAGAATCTTCGTAGATGAACAAGTTTGAAGATGACCTCACCATATTCCAAGTTATAGAAATCTTCCGTTCTTTAAATCATTCAGATCCGCTCCTGTCTCGCAATTCGATGGTACACAAGCCTAGCCAGGATACAATTGTGATGTGGTGTTCAATGCGCCGTCATCTTCTTGCCAATCCCCATCCCTGAAGCCGGAATTTCAAAAATAAAAAACAGACAAACAAATACTGAATACACATCAACGCAAGAATGCCAGACAACCCAAGTCCCCAGCAAAAGATTCGGACTTCACCTGGATTAACATCACAAGTTACAGTCTCTAGAAAATGCTATATAATGAATACCCAAAACCTTTTGATTGTTAACGAGCTTGCATAGGATACACCTAACATGGGCTTACGATCAAGCCTAGTGTCTGGCTTCCAGCCATCACCTTGAGCACCACACTCGAAACACAGAAAGCCATCATAACAATCTCGGAACCAAAAAAAAGAGAAAACCACAGGATCACCTACTATCCGCGGCTCCTCGCTCTCACGATGTTTGCATACGGCACAGAGATGTCACGGCGTCATGTATGTAAGCGCAGATTCGAGCAATTCGAAGTGATGAGAGAGCACGCTGCTGCGAGGGTTTCGCTGCGGGTGGGCGAAGGGGGTGAGGATGTGCGGTGTGCTTCAAACCCTGGACATCAAGAACGGACCAGTGATGGGTTGTATCATCCAAGGGACGAGAATGAACATACCTTAGTGTATTAAGCACTGCACACGCACACATACAACTGTAAATATGAACGTATATGTTTTCCACTTTGAAATTGCGTCGACAACACTGAGGATGTCACGTGACACTGTGATAAGTTGGAAGAAAGGAATGAACATGGACAAGGGCTCTAGGGATTCAAATTTTGTCCAGTGAATCACTTCATGTACGTGCAAAATGCAATCTCAATATAATCAGATTTACCATTTCTCTTTGAATAACAGCCACTTTTTAATTATGGGTCGAATGAGAAAAAGAGGTGCCATTATTTGCACCTTCCAAAAAACAAATTGGGTTACTGGCCACATAAGAAAAGGCCAATATGTGCATCAATGAGAATACATGTGTGACAATCAAGTGTCCAATGTTTCGCTCATCTAACAAGGAAAATTTCTCACTAAATGGAATCTTTGTTAAATGTTTTTATACTAGCTGTGTCAAAATTGAAGAATACTTTCTTTTTGTAGAAAGGTGTCATACTTGAGCATGATAAAACTTACCATCTCTTCTACATTAATAAGATTTCTCTTACAAGGGTGAAGCCTTCTTTTGATCTGAGTGCAACAATTCCTATCATTAATAGAAATGAAAATTAGCCATAGATTTGTACAAAGCTTTGCACTTTTAAGATGGTGGCATGTCTTCGTTGGATGTGGTCGATAATTTTCCAATTCTCAACTACAACCTTTTTGAGTGAATTACAGCCGCCAGACACTAAAGCCATACCAGCTGAGGTTACACATAGACAGTACATCATATGACATGATTCTATAGTTTGGCACTTTGACACCAATTGGCCTCAACCTACGTCGCTAATTTTTCCACAATGTAAAAGAATGACCTCCTTAAGAAGAAGGCAATATGTTCCCAAAGTTGCAAGGCCTGTATCTCCCAAATTTTGCACTACAAGAGGCACCATTTCAAAGGTTGCAATGCATTTCAAGATATCATAGGGATGATAATAACGTCAAATACTATTCATGTATATTCTATTGTGACAATGAAGTTGATGAAAATTTAAGAAATATTATCATGCTGTGATGTATTTAAGTCTAGTAGTAGACGTATTTGACATTGACATCAAGGCGCATGAGAAGAGGGCATCCTTGAACAATGTTGATTAATCCCACATTACCCACTCAATGGCATCCACTCACATTTAGTAGCTTTAGTTCATGACATCCTTAACCTACTGCAATTACTGCATCATTCCTTGTTCTGTTAAGTCAACATCCAACAACATAAAAGAATGAAGTAAACTAATTGAACATGAATTCTTTTGTGATGGGATGAAGCTTTACAAATAAACACATTCACCATGTAGATTATAATTATGAATGTCCAAAATAGATTGAAAGATATCTATTATAGAAACAAAGATTAAGATCTATTAGCTTCTTGCAATGGATTCCAAATACCGCTATATCTTGATCACCAATTTGGTCATTGTAAATAGGTAAAGAAGTCATACATGTGCAATGCATAAAATAATATCACACAAATTTAAAACTTGTGATTTCTAGCTATTAGAAGTAAGAATGACTATATCTACCTTGTAATAGCGTCGAATGTGTAATTGTTGTAGTTGGTGACAACCTAGAGCAATACTACAGATTGTAAAATCACCAATCAATGAACAACCAATCAAATGTAGTGCTAGTAGTTGACTGTAGCCTTTTCCAACTTCTACAAGGCCTTCATTGCCTATTTTTTGACAATACTTTAACACAAGCTCTTGAAATTTTCTGCAACAAAGTACATCAAGTTAGAAAGGAAAACCCCTTAGAAAGAAAATAACAAACCAAAGTATCTACTAAATTACAAAATATGACCAACAAGCAAAAAAGACCCTTCATCAACTACAAAACATCTCTTAGAAGTATCAATGATTAATAATCATTGCTTCATTATAAATTAATGTAAGACTGAACCTCAACATACGACATGAGGAATTGAAAAATTTTGACATTTTATTGTGCCGTAAAAGAAGTTTTTTCAACCAACAAGAATGGCCCATAGTCTAAAGCCCTACAGTTCTAATCTTATAACAATGGTTTATTTCCAGTGCTTCAAGTTGGAGATAGCCTCCAACAATAGCAACAAGGCTATGGTCACCTACATAGTACAAATCATTCAATGTGATTATTTTTTAACTTTTTGCATCCTCTCTCAATAGCCACCAAAATTTTGTAGATGGAAAATATGTGAATCAGTAAAGGATATTATGACTACATAAGTAAACCTTATTCATGAGCATAAATTGTTTTGCACCTCTTTTTAAATTTAAGTTTTCATATACAAATAGGTATGTTTACAAAATATATATATATATACAAAATAATACTTTTTATTATAGTTTATAATTTTTTAATTAAGAGATTCAATATTACAAGTGAACAAACTTCTATTCATAATATTATTGTCTAAAGAGAAACAAGTCCTAGAAAAAAGCATCAATGCACAGCTCATCAAAATAAAATTACATAAACTATCAAAAAAAGTGATTGATGCATTATGTTAACTATATAATGAAATGTGTGAATAAGAAACTTGCCGGTCTATAAAATTTTGAAAGCTATAAATAGCTAAGGTCTCTAATAAAAGAAAATTACAGCCAATAACTTGCAAAGCTTTGTTCCACACAGTCACATATTATAGTCAAAGCATTTGCATTTGTTTACAATTCTGGTCAATTGTCAACCACACCATCTATCTCAATACACCCAGAGTTCAAAGTGAATTTCTTAAGCATGTTACAGTTGGTACCTACAACTTGACAATTGGAGGCAAATTATAACGAGGTGGTCAAATGTCAAAACCAATCAACATGCTTAAGGAGCATTTGTATCATCAATATGCAATCCAAGGCTTAATACATCCGGACTTATATAGACTCTATATATCTAATGTTTTACAAGATAACTTATTAGTTATAATGAACTAGGTTGAGAAAGCAAGATATATACAAAAAATGATTTAGGTGAAGAGATGAATGACCTTCAATGCTACATTTGTTACACAAGCACAAGTTATAATTCTGAGTAATTGAAGCAATTTTGCACAACCTTTAGTATTTCTCACTATGCTAATATCGTTGATTCCTTCACAAAAATATAAATTCAGCTCTTCCAATTCTTTACAATATATGTCCACGACCTTCAAACCTTGGTCCCTAATATAGTAGTCCTATTGCAGTTCCACTCGATAAATACATCTTTACATAGCTAAGAATTAAATCAAGATTATTTATCATACAAACATGAAAGAAGATTAGCTACAAATAAGTATAAAAAATAGAAATTATAGATTACAATCTTCATTTTGTAATAGGATAATACAACAATAATACACATAGATAAAAATATTGAAGTATAATTGTAGACATGATTGTATACCTGTAAGTCCAAGATCTTAAAGCCTTTGCAAGTACTTTTTAGAATGACAAGGCTATGACTTGACATTGCATAGTACCATACAAGAAATAGACTCTTTAATCTTGGGCATCTTTCTATCAAAAATCAAAGCCCCATATTTAAAAAATTATTCAAACCAATGTCGTTGCTTTCATCTTCATAATTCATCACCATGTAGTATCTCCTTCTCCTTTTCTTCTAAGACAATATCATGCCTATATCTTTACCCTGCCACAAATATCCAATAAGCAAACACTTGCAATGATTCAGCCATTTGATTAATAGTTCATGCTCAAAATCGTCTAAAAAAAGATTATATTCAATAGAAAACGTTGAAAGTAAAGATCAAGGCATTGAAGAACATCAGCAACTTTCTTTATCAGATTCTAGTACATTGCTGAGTGTGTCATATTCAAATCTTTACATAACATTGTAATCTTGAAAGTTTCTCAATTGCCTCAATATACAAGATTAGCTACAAAAAAAACTTCAAAATTAGCTAAAATTGCATTACATTTGACCTAAAGGATCCATAACTTATCATAAAGTGAACTTCAAGACAAATTCAATGTATGGGACTTACAAGAAATAACTTCATTATATAAGAACAAAATATTTATTAATGTGAGAGTTGGTTGTTGATAAATATAGGAATAGGTAATTTCTTGTCTATGCAAACTTATCATAGGTATAAAAATCTTTGAACTATCATTGCTAAATATGCATTTAACTGCCTCGTCATATATAAAATTAGGAAATGGTGACATGTGCTGTCCAATGTCTTCCATCTTTCATAGACCAATGAATAAGCATCTTAGTTGTTGTCCCTTTCATCGACATATTTCACAATTTCTATTAGTGTCTTATCGTGTAGTAAGTTTATCAGATCTTATCCTTTCACCATGCTTGATGGTCCAATAGTTTGGTGAAAAAAAACTATAAAGATTATTCAATCGACATGGTAGTGGTTGCATTATCTTTTTAATTTATACATATGCCTTTTCTAGCTTCAGTGCTAAGTTCAAGTCAAAAAAATTTCAAAACATCGAGCCAAATTAATACTCACAAAAGCAGCCATTTCTACATTCTACAAAAAAAAACTCACCAAAATTTGCAAAACATGAATCCACTACACTGCCAACATACTTTGTTCAAATCTTTTAGCAATCAAGAGTCCAAAGTGGATGTAACACATGAATCCATTTGCTGATCCACAAAGACTTATTGTGCCTACCACCCATTATACTTCAAATCCTAACTATCGTACCTTCCGAGAAGACAATGCATTGATTTAGTCTACATTTTGGCTCTCATGTTGCTATAGCACTAGAAGCAAGCCATCTCAAACCAACAAGACGTTAGACCTCTGACCATGGTTACTTTGAAAAAGCTTTTTATTCTTTTCAACGTTTACATTATAAACCTCTGTTGGTTAATCCAACTCATGGATTTGCTCATCTTATTCATTGCCATGTCATCAAACCATTTCTAAAAGGAACTATCTACCTAAGTAGCAACAACCAATCTTCCTCGCTACATACTTTGATTCTCATGTTTCTATTCACAAGGATATGGCTTTCATATAGTGTTGCTATT